ACACGTTCAATATTGATCAATAACTAGGATGATATTAGTAACTCTTTAGTAAATGTAGATTATAAAACTTTATTTCAATCTACTTTAATTTTAAGAAATTCTCAACACAATCGTTAGCATCGTAACTTTTATTTTCGATAATAATTAAGTTAACTTGAACTAAATTCAGTTATCGCCACCGAAGTTGATTTTGAATTCAATTGATATGTCATCCGCTTCAAATAAATACTTTGAATTTTGTTAACAAAATATTAACAAATTTCAAAGAATACCTGTCAGTACTGCAGTACTAACAAATAATTAAAATATTAATTTCATGTTTGTTAAGTTCACGGTTGATGTTCATTAAGAAATGTAGATGTATTCAGTTTCGGATTTAATGTCATTGTCTTATTTGATGTGATAGAAATAACAATTCATTAAGAGTGAAGTTAGTTAAAACTTGTTAAATGAATGACAAAAGTATCCTGATTCCCTCTTGACTTTTATAGTAGTTACTTTCACAAAAGAGAATAGTGATGAAACTCATAAAAACTTCTCCTTCTCTTCGATGGTCCTTAACCGTTCCCATATATTACGTAGCGTTGTTGTTCCTATAAGGACAAAGGCTACAACAAATTATCAAATGTATTTAAACAACCATTGAGTAACCGACAGACATTGGTCATTCCACATCTAAACAAAGACAAAGAGATAGTTCAAATACTATATATATTCTATACACAAATCGAAAAAATAAAATGATTGCCTATTTACAAACTGTAAGTATACGGTTAAAAATAATCGAAATCAGCTCTATGAAACATGAGTAGATATGTGAAAGTAAGGCATGGATATATGGTGGTGTTTGTGATGAGGTGAAGGTCACTTTCAGGACAACATCCCACAAAATGTTGCGAACACGATCAATATCATAAGAAGAAAGATAAGACGTTGAAATGAGTAAGAATTAGAACAGTTTTTAACACACGCCCTTGATATTACACTGATGTCGCTCCGTTAGTCAGATTAAAACATCGTATGATGTTGAACGAAAGGTGTCCATATAGTTAAGAGACTGGTTGTTTATTTGGGGTTGTAGATACTTGATGAAGGCCAATGTTTTAACAGTGATATTCAATGTACTGTGGGCATGTGAAATATATATAGTAAATAAGGAAGATTAGTTCAGCAAAGAGTTCTCTTTTCGGCGAATTCATTTTCAAAGCTGTACAATCACAAATATATATACTTGTTTTACAGGATAAGATCTTATCATGCTGAGCCATCCTTTCCCAATGATAGTTTCTCTATCTTTTGATGAATACTTAAGCCAATAACAATCAAACAATTATTAAACTTTCCTTGTTTTAAAAAGCTTTTTTAATACCTTTGTTTATTTAATCTCACAGAAGTTTATTATCAGTATTATTATCATCCTGTAAAAATAAGTATATATATTTGCGTTGCGTTCCCAATTTATACTGTTTTCAAAGACAACACATGAACTGAAGGATCACTATTTTCACAGCTATTCATTGTAATATAAGAAAGATTAAATTAAGTCTTGTGAGTGTTGTGTTAACCGATATCTTGTCAGTATTCTCAAAATAGTCGGTATGAATACATGAAAATGATCAATTCTAAAACTGAAATTTAGGCGTAGACATATTGAGATATGAGAATGACAGTCATTTTCAGGTTGACGTATACGACCGCTGGGTATACAAGCAGTAGTATGAAAAAGCTTTCAAATATTTGTAAGTGAACTATGTCAATGATGCACTTACTATAATTACATGAAATGCTTTGAACACGGTCAACACTATTGAGATTCGTAGTGGCATTTTGTTTGATCGTCCAAAATTCAAATATCGAAATAATCCTATTGTGCCAGTCGAGGGCAAATGAAGATAATTGAGATAAAGAATTTCGTTTCGAAGATATCACTTATCAACAATAGAAAATTACCTTGCTTGTCTATCTCAAGGATTACAAAGTCAGTCAATAGCCCAATCTTGGAGTATCCAGTTGATTCTGGTCACTCGGTTTCACTCAAGTCCTGTTTGACAATCATTCATACAGTCAAAGGAATCGGTTCAAAAGGAATACAAGTTAAAATTTATAAACAACAGACTGTAGCTATCCACAGATTTAAGCCTACCCTTTATGTACAGAACACAGTGTATTCGATCCCTCATTGTAACATGGTCCTAACATTGCTTAATATCTCCCTCAATCTGTTGTTTTTTCTACTTAATTACTTACTTATTTACACCTATTACCCCTCATTGAGCGTAGACCGACGTCCAGTAATTTCCAACCTACTCCTTCCCAAATGTTATTCACAACTATTAATTAACCATCATTACAACTTTCAATTATTCTGTTTTTAATATCTACCTAGTGGATAATTATCTTCACTCTGATATTTTTATTAGCCGATCATTAAGTAACTTCCTCTGAATATCCAACTGTTCTAAGCAATCTATGAAGCGACACTACGTCGATTATTTAATTCTTCGCTCCATTCTATTTTTTCATAGACTACGATATTTTAGCAAATAAATTAACTGTAAATGGATTTTCTGATGCTTCGTGACTTAATGTAAGCCACTTCTTCGGAGAATAAATAACCAATTCAAAATTAATCCAAGTTTAAATAGTACAACGGAACAACAAAAATATTATGTAATATATATATATATATATATATATATATATATATATATATATATAATATTCATTGATCTTCTTGTTGAGTGTTTTCTGACCTTGTCCGGAAAGTCACCTTAACTCTCTTTGCTCTGTATTTACTATTACTAATACTACTACTGTAACTTTTACTACTGCTACTAATATCCATATGTACTTTCGCATTTAAATAAATCATCTCATCATTGGTTTTTAAATAACGCTTAATTAATCAACAAACCGTAGGTAAATGATATTCATCCATTCTCGTATTTGACTCATTTAATTCCGTTATTCAACAACGCGATTTAAGTGGACGATTATATACGAGGATCGGTGATATGTATATCTCAATAAAAACCACGATTTGTATAACTAGTATGGTCAACACGAATAAAAGTTGGCAATCCCAATGAATGAAAAGCATTCTGCACTACTTTCGATTTGTGGGTTGTGATATATGGTGGCAAAAAGAATAATTCCCATAACCTTTTAAAATTCAGCTAATTAAATGCACATTATATCTTCAGTTGACATACCACATTGTTCCATAAGGTGAGTTGAAGTAGATTGAGGTTTCAACACTAAAGAGTACCATAGAATTAAATAACGATAACCGAAACAACAAACCTAATTAGAATATACATGAAAATGTTTAAAAACGTTGAATTTGATTTGACCATTCTCAAGACACAGGAATTCGACTAATAGTGAATCCAAGTGAATAAATCACTGGTTATATAAGACAAATTTAACCATAGATAGCTTGTTATTAGGAAAATCCAAGTGGCACAACTTCCCATGTAAATAAGAAGGGATAAATATCTAGACATTCCATACAAATTTCAAACTGACGAAAATAAATAGGCCATTAGTACGAGTCACAATCAGAAGCAAGATGTGAGTTGTCTCGAAAGTGAGTTAAATTGATGTTGACATAGGTTGAAAATCGAAAAACAATCCTGCTTTCCTACATAAGCTATCATACAATAAACCCATTTGAGATCTTTGGCCTGGATTTTATACATCGTGACAACATATCCACGTTTATTAATGAAGCCCATTTTTAAATTCGTATTACGCCTCAGTAATTATTGATTCATTACAAATGGAAAGAAGTAGTACTCACGAATAGTCCTAGTGAGAAGTCTACTCAAAGAGCAATGACCCTATTTAGTCGTGAAGTGATACACAACGTATCAGTAGCTCATGATGAAACCCATTTCACAGGAATAATTTCAACAGTTGCCTTAACGATACTCGATACAGACAACTTCCTATGGCTCAACAACATCCTCAGTTTAGCAGGAAATCTCGTTTGAACCCTAAAGAGTTCCATTACATCAATGAATTTGAGTATATCTGTCAAACTAGAAAAATAGATCAATGGCTTCTTACTCCAATATGATAATGCAGGATATTCATCAGTTCATGGAAGTCTAGTCAAACTCGTCAAATCTCGTGTAATTTTAAACCATTAAGTGAATAGATCACTATCAAAAGTACAGTCTACCGAGGAAATGAATATCGGCCATAATTCAGAGAATCAGAAGTTGCATAATAAGGATTGCTGACACAATTCATGGCAGACGAAATAAAGAAGTGAAGGCTAATGCAGTAGACGCAACCGAAGTGGTTTTTATTATTAAAATAGATCGCAACACAAAATACACACTTAACTGTGTAGTAACCGTATTAATCACTCACCAATGGTAATTAACAAGACAAAAAGAAATGAAGAGAGGATAGTCATTATAAAGATGAGAAACTAACTAAATACAGAAAATACTACTTAGACAGTGCAAATCAAAATGGAGAAACAAAATTATGCCGTCACTTGAAGCACAAAAATCCGACGGACATACTGAGTGACTAGATTGGTTTCGAGCAACATGATAATGTTTCCAACTTTAGATGAAGGCTGTCTCAAGAATCTCGGTTAGGAAATCAACAAATGGGCACAAATCAGACTCATAGATAACCACATCATCAAATGACACCACAGTTTGATTCCCATTTTCTATTTCCAACATAGTTGTGTCCAGGTACGTGGAAGTTAGGCATGAGCAGCACATGTCTCTCGCTGAATGAGTGTTCACACACCTATCAACCGTCTTCTATCACTCCACGTCCACTCTCCATTCACAACATCAACAAGCATGAAGTCACGAAGATCCCAATGAAAAACCAATTTCGCAGAATCTGAACACAGGAACAACATGTCAATCAAAACCAAACTATCGTATTACCAACCGCACAGCAGAAAGTAAACGTTCAATAAGTCGACTGAATACGCTGATCACGAAATAAATAACATGGAGTCGAATGCAATTTAGAAATATTTATTCAGAAAAATCACATCAATATTTTAACATTAAGCAACGAATAGTTTAGTAAAACATATTCTCTTCTAGTGAGTAATTGCATGCTGCTTCTCCAACGGTGCCTCCAATACCAATGTATTACCAACTACCTGAGCAGAAACAGATAGCGGATCAACTGTCTCTGGAATCGCATACGACTGACTGAACTCTGCAAATGAACTCGACTTTCCATATTGACCACTCTTCTGCTTATGATGACGTCCACTAACCACAACACGATTCGAATCAACATTCACACACAAGTCTTCAGGCTTGTACACTGGGTCCACTGGAACCTCAACATGCAATCGCTTGCCACCTGAACCATCATCCACATACGACAGACCATGAACACCTGGAATGGATAGGAAAAAAATACAAATGTTATGAAAATGCAACACAAGAAAACAAGAGTAACACACCCACCAGATCATTATCAACACGCACATGTTACATCTAAGTCAATCACAAGTCCTCTCACCTTTCGCAACAAGTGCTTGCGACGCAGGAACTGCCTTAATCTGATTGTCCGATTTCGGTCGAACACCAACCTGACCAGACTCGTTCAGTGTCAACGACTGATTCTGATCAACCTTCACTGGAGCCTCCAACATCAAAACACCATCCTGAAACGGACAGACAAACAAACACACAGAACAAGATGGAACGAAACTTCCAACTATTCTAAAATGATTGGAAATGCAAACAACTACAAATACAACACACACAAAACCACCAGCAACCACAGTCGTCAACTCGACAACTTACATCGGTCATGCGACATTTCAGTTGACTATCATCAATACTCTTCGGCAGCTGCACCATACGACAGAACTCCCGACTACACTTCCCACCATCGGTCGTCGTCTCCTTCTTCGCGTGTACCGTCACACGGTTCTCACTCGACGTCACATTGATGTCCTGGGGAGCGAAACCTTGTGCATCGAATCGTACCTTGAAATGTACCTACGCAATAAACAACAACCATAATTACACTCGTCAATCAACGGCTATGTTCAAACCAACTGCACAAACCACTAAACACAACCTACCTGCTCGTCAGCACGGACTCACCTTGCCATCCTCACCTATTTCGTAGGCGTCCTTTAAAAAGTCACTCACTGAACCGGTCGACGGCACATCCATTGAACCCATTCTCTCTCGTATATCCTGGATATGACGATCCATTTGGTGCATTAAAGCGAATGGATTTTCCAAAATCCCGTGGGTGAAATTGTCCACCGGCTGAAATTCAAAGTACATACCAAGCTCATCAAATCTCCTCACACAATGCATTATTGCATTCCTAATATATACAAATGATAAACATTATCTCAGGAAATCATATGCACTAATGGTCAACTGAATATTGAATAACCAAACTCACTAATAGTGCGAACATTCCACGTCTCAAACGTCGCATGTCTTCATCCCATCTCCTCCACGAGGAGTTGATCCAGCTGTCCACAGTACTCGGCCAGTCTTCCGTGTACGGTGCGATTAGGTTGCCACGATGAGTACCACCACCGTGTTCCAGGCCAGTTAACAGGTCACGTCTCTGCCTCTCAAATGACCGTTGCTCACGATTCACAGGAATACTAACTGCGTGACGTTGGTGCCCACCAGACATACTCAACACAATAACAGATTTAGAATTAGAACAACAGTACGGATTGAATTCTCGACTGTTTAGCTTGATTATATAGTGGTGGGTGAGAGAAATTATTCAATGACCTCCAGATAGGTAACAACCAATCAGAACGCTAATATTTCTACAATATAATTAAGTCCAAATCTGATTGGTGATTGAAGGACATTTTCTCGAAAGTTCTCGATTTCTCTCGCCCTGTCTAGTCTACTTCCATATATGTTTGCTCTGTGTCAACACACATTACACCCTATTTACCAGAACTCTCTAGAAAAAACTACCGAATTCTAGTGAAATCCTAGTGCTTCCATACTAATGCCATTCACTACAAATCACAACTGACCATTAGTGACGTCGTACTTGATAATTTTATTTTTATACACATTCGTAATTAATTGGCAAGGATATCAAAAGCACAGTCAACAGACTGTTTATGTGTTTGGCTCATTTTCTTATTAGTTGAAAGCAGGTAACTTAGGTCGTTTGGTGAAAACTGAACTATAAACTGTGATTTTCGTGTAAAGTAATCAAAATTCTTCAAGTTCATGATACGTACTGCAGGTATTCCGACGAGAATTCATCCTAAACTGTACTTTACTGAGAGTATTTCTGAAATATCCCTTTCACCAGTTTGTTTACTTATCACATAAATAATCTGGAATCCGCAACTTGATTGTTGGGATCAACGTCTTCTCCAATCAATAACATTTGCTGGTTAAACTTGTGAGACTTGATACATTTATTGATTCTAAAAATGCTTTCGTACTTAGATTTATGCCTGTTTTCTAAATCCCTTTGGTTCTATGTACTAATGGGTTTTTAACATTAGTGCACTTCTGAACGACTTCTCAATTGAACGTATACGGTGCTTCCCTCCTACTTTCGAATCCACGTTCACAAGCTCTTAGTGATATGGGGAGAAATTCGAATACTTCATTGAGTATATTTAATCGTCGAAATTAAAACTCTCTTCACTGAATAGTCTTTTTTGTACTTCGTTTTCTTATTAGTTGAATGCAGGTAACTTAAGTCGTTTGGTGAAAACTAAAATATAAACTGTGATTTTCGTTTAAAGTAATCAAAATCTTTTAAGTCCATGATACATAGTGAGTGCTACAGGATTTCGTGATAGTCACATGGAGTACCTTCTTTAATTTTTGGTATGTCAACCTTTGACGTTGTAATAATCGACATTGACAATTTAATCGTCCACAATATCCAATCAAGTTCGAGGTCGACAGAATAAGCTCTTAGTGATATGGGGAGAAATTCGAATACTTCATTGAGTATATTTAATTGTCGAAATTAAAACTCTCTTCTCTGAATATTCTTTATTCCACTCCAATAATCAAAAGTTTTAAATATAAAATATAATACTCTGTAATCCAATTAATTTTGATGGAAATTTAATATTAGAGTGATATTGAGTCATAGGTTGTTTATAAATATGAAATATTAAGAGAAAGTTATGTAAAAGTCCAGTGGCTAGTGAAGAGTGTTAAGATGAAAATAATTTTTTGAGGAGTGATAATTACTCCACTTGAAAACTATGGAGAATAGAATAATTCAATGTTGTAATAATATGTAGTTTATAATTCCAACACACTGGAAAAAAGTAGTCAGAAAACACTCTTGTGTTTTATTGGTCTTTTGAGTTTGAGTTTCCGAGCACCAACTGTCGATATCAGTGTGGGTGTTGTCTTCACGAACCAGATGGCAGAGGTGTCCATGAAAACTTTAACTCTAAGCAACAGAACTCCTTGTTCAAAAGTGTCTGTGTTGGGACATGTGAATGATTCACTTCTGTATTAGACAATCGTTCATATAACACAGTCGAATAGACAAAGCATGATGGTCACTTAGACTGAACAATAGAGTGTTTTGAGTGAGAGATAAGCAAACTGATTTGAAAGTTCATCAACCATACAATTGATTTGCCTGCAATAATCCACTGATATAGCGTCTCACATGTTGAGTTTACTTTCTACTGTGCGGTTGGTAATACGATAGTTTGGTTTTGATTGACATGTTGTTCCTGTGTTCAGATTCTGCGAAATTGGTTTTTCATTGGGATCTTCGTGACTTCATGCTTGTTGATGTTGTGAATGGAGAGTGGACGTGGAGTGATAGAAGACGGTTGATAGGTGTGTGAACACTCATTCAGCGAGAGACATGTGCTGCTCATGCCTAACTTCCACGTACCTGGACACAACTATGTTGGAAATAGAAAATGGGAATCAAACTGTGGTGTCATTTGATGATGTGGTTATCTATGAGTCTGATTTGTGCCCATTTGTTGATTTCCTAACCGAGATTCTTGAGACAGCCTTCATCTAAAGTTGGAAACATTATCATGTTGCTCGAAACCAATCTAGTCACTCAGTATGTCCGTCGGATTTTTGTGCTTCAAGTGACGGCATAATTTTGTTTCTCCATTTTGATTTGCACTGTCTAAGTAGTATTTTCTGTATTTAGTTAGTTTCTCATCTTTATAATGACTATCCTCTCTTCATTTCTTTTTGTCTTGTTAATTACCATTGGTGAGTGATTAATACGGTTACTACACAGTTAAGTGTGTATTTTGTGTTGCGATCTATTTTAATAATAAAAACCACTTCGGTTGCGTCTACTGCATTAGCCTTCACTTCTTTATTTCGTCTGCCATGAATTGTGTCAGCAATCCTTATTATGCAACTTCTGATTCTCTGAATTATGGCCGATATTCATTTCCTCGGTAGACTGTACTTTTGATAGTGATCTATTCACTTAATGGTTTAAAATTACACGAGATTTGACGAGTTTGACTAGACTTCCATGAACTGATGAATATCCTGCATTATCATATTGGAGTAAGAAGCCATTGATCTATTTTTCTAGTTTGACAGATATACTCAAATTCATTGATGTAATGGAACTCTTTAGGGTTCAAACGAGATTTCCTGCTAAACTGAGGATGTTGTTGAGCCATAGGAAGTTGTCTGTATCGAGTATCGTTAAGGCAACTGTTGAAATTATTCCTGTGAAATGGGTTTCATCATGAGCTACTGATACGTTGTGTATCACTTCACGACTAAATAGGGTCATTGCTCTTTGAGTAGACTTCTCACTAGGACTATTCGTAAGTACTACTTCTTTCCATTTGTAATGAATCAATAATTACTGAGGCGTAATACGAATTTAAAAATGGGCTTCATTAATAAACGTGGATATGTTGTCACGATGTATAAAATCCAGGCCAAAGATCTCAAATGGGTTTATTGTATGATAGCTTATGTAGGAAAGCAGGATTGTTTTTCGATTTTCAACCTATGTCAACATCAATTTAACTCACTTTCGAGACAACTCACATCTTGCTTCTGATTGTGACTCGTACTAATGGCCTATTTATTTTCGTCAGTTTGAAATTTGTATGGAATGTCTAGATATTTATCCCTTCTTATTTACATGGGAAGTTGTGCCACTTGGATTTTCCTAATAACAAGCTATCTATGGTTAAATTTGTCTTATATAACCAGTGATTTATTCACTTGGATTCACTATTAGTCGAATTCCTGTGTCTTGAGAATGGTCAAATCAAATTCAACGTTTTTAAACATTTTCATGTATATTCTAATTAGGTTTGTTGTTTCGGTTATCGTTATTTAATTCTATGGTACTCTTTAGTGTTGAAACCTCAATCTACTTCAACTCACCTTATGGAACAATGTGGTATGTCAACTGAAGATATAATGTGCATTTAATTAGCTGAATTTTAAAAGGTTATGGGAATTATTCTTTTTGCCACCATATATCACAACCCACAAATCGAAAGTAGTGCAGAATGCTTTTCATTCATTGGGATTGCCAACTTTTATTCGTGTTGACCATACTAGTTATACAAATCGTGGGTTTCTATGAGTTTTAAATTTTTATTTACAATAAATAGCCTGTAAGTCAATCTTTCTCATATTCTGTCGAGTCATCTAAGGTAGACTTTACTAAACTATGCAGTACTATCAGTTTAAACAACTTTCTTCAAGTCTACCACATTAAATTCCATTCATTGCTATTTACAAAAATTCGTTTGGATCTTCAGGGAATCTGTTCAATTTCATGTTTACCTGGATTAAAATGTCTAGTCATCAAGTTATTCTCAATGTATGATTACTTTGTCTAGACTTATCCAACCTTAAACTCGAAACGCGTGTTTATGTCTTGATGAATGGGTACAGGTTGAGAAGAATAAACGACATGACATCATGAACTCCAATACTTTACTACTTCGTCACAGTTCAATGTGTAATCAAGTTTATTTAGATAACGTGTCATTAAGAAGTTGCGAATCAGGTCGCGGGGACGGGCGCAAGTTTTGTCAATCTTTGTTCTGTGGCAGGTTTAACCCATGTAATTCATGTGCATTTCGTAATCTTAGCTGCTTTTAATGTGATGAGATTAAACATTCATTCAGTTTGTAATACTACTATTCATTTCGCTGCAACTGATTCTAAAATTTTTATTTTTGATCCTATTAAGTTGGATGTTTCTAATGATCATTTGTCTTTATCTACGACTTCGAAAAGCAGTATAGTCACATAGCAGTCTGGAGCTAAATGAAACTCAGAATCATTGTGAGACAAGAGTTTCTAACCAATCAACTGCTTATCAGATTTCCCATGTTATTATACGGGATATGGTTTTCCTAATGATTCACATATTTTTGGTGAAATTGTTTACAAATCTGAGGAAAATAAATAACGTAATTGAATCAAGAAGTACTACACAACCACTAACGAATGTATTGTATTTAGAATTCGAAATCAGGCATTCAACAAGTACAAAGGAGTCATTAGTTCATTCAAACACCACAGTAATGTACGTTGTGTCCCGACTTCGTGTGCCAATGCACTTTTTAGCAGCATTTACCATTAAAATGGCCTCGGCTAGCAAGCTGTTCGCATCCAAGTAGCACTTCTGACAAAACCACACGTAACCGTTTTTACTAAACCATTTGAAAGCCTCAGGAGTTAGATTAGTGCAAACTTCGTGAT